TTTATGACTATGTGGGAACAGGGAGCCTTGAGGATTTGATGAAGAGAGTGAGGGAAAATGAGGTGAGGGTTGGATGGGAAGTGAGGCTTGGGATTGCTGTTGGGGTTATAAAGGCCCTTCAGTATCTTCACTTTGATTGTGATCCTCACATTCTTCACTACAACTTGAAGCCTTCAAATGTGATGTTGGATGCTGAGTTTGAACCAAGGCTTGCTGATTCTGGCTTGGCTAAGCTCTTCTCCAACTTGGATATGGCTTCTAACTCTGCATATACCTCCCCTGAGTGCTCTCAGGACCGCAGGTTAGCATTCCAAAACCCCCCACATTTAACTTGTTGAGTCTCGGTTTGATTACGTTTTGCATGTTGGTAACGTTCTGGCTTCGATTTGCTAGTGTTTTAATCTTAAACCACCACTAAACCCACCCGTGAACCAATTACGTCGATGGAAGAAGAAATGATATTGTAGAAATTTGGACATTACCTAAAGTGCGGCTGAACCCAAAAGCTTAAGTTAATTAGTAGTCAGTAGGCTTCTTAATCGGGTGTAGCCCTTTGGTTAGCAAGAAGTTAATGGTGATTAAGCTTAAGAAATGAATGAAGAGTAGGAATTCAAATACACGACGTTCGGTTCTGATACGATATGAAACTGCCCATTAGGTAAAAGTGACAAAAAGTAAAAGTTTCAAAGGGGATATAGAAGTTGGGATATTCAGCACTCTCTGTTTAGAAGCTGCATTGTGGTGAAAGTAGTTGTAATCATATTCGACATTTGTCGGTTTTTTCAGTTTTAACAGGTACAGCGATAAGAGCGACATCTTCAGCTTCGGGATGATTCTAGCGGTTCTATTAACAGGCAGAGACCCAGCAGATCCATTCTTTGGAGAAGCAGCGAACGGAGGAAGTCTAGGCCAGTGGTTACGACAATTGCAGGTCAACGGGGACGTTCGAGAAGCGCTAGACAAGAGTATCATAGGGGAAGAAGGGGAAGAAGATGAAATGCTAATGGCTGTGAGGATTGCTGTTGTGTGCTTATCAGATCAGCCAGTAGACAGACCTTCCAGTGATGAGTTGGTACACATGCTAACACAATTGCACAGTTTCTGAAACCCCATCCAATTCAAACTCAGCCTCTCTACACCTTCATTTCACTGCTTTTTTTTTTTTTCTTCTTTTTTGGAATCTCAAAAGAAGAAACTTATTACTGTAAAGTGGTGTTGACCTGTCTGTTGATGATGTAAAAGAAGCTTTTGTGCAAAGGAAAATTCCATTTTGATAGTATGATTGTTTGGTGAAATGACCACTTAACAAACATCTTAAACAGGGGAGTGGGGTTCTGTTGCCATTGCCACTCTTTTTCTGGACAGATTTTACCTTCATCTACGTGTTCTTTTACCCTCATAGCCACCATTTTCCTCCCCATTCAGGCTCTTTATAGACAAATTTGAAATTTGCCATTCCTGGTTGAATCGATTCTGGACATTGGGATAATTTTCTATCGAATCGGATTGGTTGGTGCTCGAAACCTATTTCTAATCGTGCACCTAAAAAACCTCTCGGTTGTTTATTAACTAAATAATAATATGACATAATTATTTGACAAATGTTGATTGATTTGATAGGACAACGCAGTAGATAAATAATAGAAGAGTATGAATAAATATGTAAAATACGTATGATACATTGCTTCGCTTCAAATAATTTTTATGTTATCACAGATGCCGTTTTATCTTTTCCAACTATATCTACTCTCGGTTGTTGTATGTATAACCGAGTATTGTTCTATGGTTAAATTTAATTATTGGTTGGATTCGAGGGAGGGAGGAAAAAAAAGTGAAAAAGTTGTTGAAAAGGGGAATGGAGTGTTTTCTCCCAAGTGGGTGACAAAGTGTGGGTGATGGAAAGGGGCAGGGTTTGAAAATGAAACTGGATTTAACGTTACAAACAAACACAAAAATAATAAAATAAATAATAAATAAATAAATAAAAAGAAAAAAAAAAAGAAGAAGAAAAAGTCTGGAAAGTCGTCCCATGCTTCTGGGGCCAAGGCCAGCACGCTCCGAAAGAGTACCATAAACTTCATGACCCTCCAACCAACACCGTCTCCTTTTTCTCTCTCTCTCTCATCTTTTACACATTCATAAACACCCGGTGGGAATTTGAGCTTTCAATCTTCCATTTCTTTAAGGGATCATTTATTTGATGGGAATCTAATATTGTCGATTCTCACATTTATTTTGCAGTAATGGATACTTGGATATTCTAAATAAATTTCAATTTTTTTAATACAACATGTTGGGGAGGGGATTCGAATTAAATAAATTTTAATTAAATTATATAATATCTCCATTTACTTTTAATATTTGTAATGACTTTTATAAATAATATATATTATCTTAAATACATAATTTTAAATTGATATTCTTCTTAAAAGAATATAATTTGATCATATAATGCATGAATTTCAAAAAATATAACATTAATTATATAATTGTATTCTTTTAAATTAAAGTTGAAAATAAAATTTATATTCACTATTAATTACTTTTAAAAAAAAGTCATAATATGAATTCTACTTACATATAAAAATTAATAGATATACACAATTAATATAAAAAAACTGACAGAGAAGAAATTTATATAGAGAAAAATTGGAGATATATTTGCTAAAAAAAATATTAGAAAGATGAAAAACCAGTTAAAATTTGAGAGACAAAGTTTGAGAAAATATTAAAATTTTAAAGAGCTAAAAATGAGAGTGATATGTCGGAAAAAAAAAAAAGAAAATACGAGATTAAAATTTTTGAGGGAGAGAAATAATAGTAAATAATAAAAATTTGAGAGAGAGACAAATTCTTTTTAGTGCAGGAAAAAAGTTTTAGAATGAGAAAAAAATCGTTAAAGAACAATATGTGAAAGAAAAAAATTGATAATAAATGAGATTTTGGAAAAACATAAATATGTTTCTAGAAAGTATATATATATATACATATATTTTATCCAAAATTTAAAAACATTTCTAAAAACAGAAAATAAAAATTTAAATAGATTATCAAACAAGTCTGTTGTAGTAATTTTGATAATGTCATCCATTCATTTAGTTACTCAATTTTATAATTGATTTGTATATTTCATATTAATATAAATCCTTGAACTAACAATCTATCTTTACAGGTTTTGTTAAAAAAAAAAAAAAATCTATCTTTACATGTTATAATGTAGTTAATATAAAATATTATGAAGCTTTCATAAATTATAATGATTAAATGAATTTTATTTTATTAAATATAAATTAGTGTATTAAATATAAAAAAACGAAAAAGAAAATGTTTATACAAAAAGTCATTTTGAAGGTTAAATTACTAGTATGAAAAAAAAAACTTTAAAATGTTGCTTTCCACTCCCTAGGAATTATGATCAAACTTATAATTGACAGATATTAAATAAATAAGGAAACGATTGTATTAGATATTTTTTCTTTTATCGTACTAAACAAAATATATTTTATACTTTTAGAAATCAATTTTAAAAAAATATAATTTTATATTCCAACCCACAACTATTGATTTATAATATATGCTTTAGCAGTTGACCTGTACTCGAGTTGTCCTATACAAGATTTCTTATTCCCATGGCTTTTGACTCATTAAAATAACAATAATTGCTGAAAATAGTTAAAAAGAAAATAATATTTTTAAAATGGTTTTCAACGTTAGACACTTCTTTCTTGGAAGTGCTCACCTACTTTTGGGCTATGGGAGGCCCAAGGCCCAAAGACAAGCCCAAACTTGACTCAAGATCAGTATTTTGAATGAGCTGACTCAACAAGTATATATAATAACTATTTCTAAAAATTCATTTTTATTACAATAAATTTCTATTTTACTAAAAACATTAACTAAAAGTTTCTTAATTAAAAAAAAACAACTTTAATAACTTAACAGAGGAAAAAGGTACAAAAACACATTTGATCCCTATACTTTTCACTAAACTAACAATTTAGTCTATAAACTTTAGTTTGTAACGATTTAATCCCTATACTTTCACTAAAGTAACGATTTAGTCCTAAACTTTAATTTGTAACGATTTAGTCCCTGTAGATTAAAATTTGTAAAAATTTAGTCACTATCGTGAACAATTTTTGTTTAAATTAAGTGTCAAATTTTATTATATAACAATTTAATCTTTTTAGTTATAAACATATTTGGTCTCTCTTTAGTTTATCTATCTATATATATATATAAGAAACTTAACAAAAAAATTTTACGATAGGGACTAAACGGTTACCAACTTTAAATTACATGGACTAAATTGTTACATATTAAAGTTCAAGGACTAAATAGTTACTCATATGAAAGTATAGGGACTAAATCGTTACAAACTAAAGTTCAAGGACTAAATTGTTACTTTAACAAAAGTATAGAAACCAAAAGTGTTTTTTAATTGAGAAAAAAATAGTAAAAATATCTAAAAATACAAAATAAATTTTAGTTAAAAATACTAATTCAATAAGTTTCAGTCAGATTTTTTTTTTGTCATTTTGAGCATGCACATATCATCTTTGGTAAGGTGTAAGGTTTGATTCTTCATTCTCAGATTTGTTAAACTTGAAAAAAAAATAGTTTTTAAAAAGGGCTAAAATAATTAACTTTAACTTCTACGTCTTGAAAAATAGATTTAAAAGTTCCATTTCTAACCATAAATGTTAATATCGAGACCGAAAGCTAACTTGACAAGCTTATTAGGTAAGAGCAAAGAAAAATGCATAGTTAGTTAATTAATCACCAAAGCACATGTTTTAATTGTTTGGATATAAAACTTTGGTCATCAACTTTGATGTTTGAAAAGAAAGTCCATTCTTAAATTAATGAGGTTTCCACCCTCTCTCCTAAAGCTAAAATAGCCACCAATTTAAATTTATAATATTAAGTTAATTGATCAATTTTGACCAATTGAATATAAAAAAGAAAAAGTTAGTTCCCAACTACCCAATTTCCTCCTAAGTGGTGTGCTATTTCCTTTACTCTTCCTTTACCCAACACAAATGCTTGTTAGTTTATGCTGAGAAAGCTTCCCCTATTTAAGCAGCTTCTCACAAAGACTCTTTACAAACGCTCTCATTTCCCCCATCACTCAAAATACCATCTTTATATTCCCTCATTTCTCATTTCTCTCTTTCTGTGTTGTTCATCATCTTCTTGATTGCAATGGCTCACCTAAATACTTCACTCGAGAGCTTGTGCAGAAGCCCTCAAGATCCACACAACTGGGGCGTGGCTGCCGAGTCCCTCAAAGGCAGTCATCTTGACGAGGTCAAGCGCATGGTTGAGCAGTTTCGGAGGCCTGTGGTGAAGCTCGGAGGTGAGACGCTCACCATTTCCCAAGTGGCTGCCATTGCCACCCGTGACTCTGATGTCATGGTGGAGTTGGCTGAGTCGGCGAGAGCGGGTGTTAAAGCTAGTAGTGATTGGGTGATGGAGAGCATGGGTAAAGGTACAGATAGTTATGGTGTCACTACGAATTTGGTGCCACGTCCCATAGAAGAACCAAACAAGGTGGGGCTCTTCAGAAGGAGCTAATTCGATTTTTGAATGCTGGAATCTTTGGGAATGGGACCGAGTCGAGTCACACTTTGTCTCACTCTGCGACCAGAGCAGCCATGTTGGTAAGAATCAACACTCTCCTTCAGGGATATTCAGGCATTAGATTTGAGATTTTGGAAGCCATCGCTAATCTCCTCAACCACAACATCACACCATGTTTGCCATTGCGAGGAACAATTACAGCTTCTGGGGATCTAGTCCCCTTGTCATATATTGCTGGGCTACTTACCGGTCGTCACAACTCAAAAGCTATTGGACCCAATGGCGATACCCTTGATGCGGAGGCTGCTTTTAGACAAGCAGGCATTCCATCTGGATTCTTTGAGTTACAACCTAAAGAAGGTCTTGCTCTTGTTAATGGTACTGCTGTTGGTTCTGGGTTGGCTTCTATTGTTCTTTTCGAGGCCAATATTTTGGCTGTTTTGTCAGAAATTTTATCTGCCATTTTTGCTGAGGTTATGCAAGGAAAGCCTGAGTTCACTGATCATTTGACCCATAAGTTGAAGCACCACCCTGGTCAGATTGAAGCTGCTGCAATCATGGAACACATTTTGGATGGAAGTTCCTACATGAAAGCAGCTACGAAATTACATGAGATTGATCCCCTCCAAAAACCCAAACAAGATCGTTATGCTCTTAGAACCTCTCCTCAATGGTTGGGCCCCTTGATTGAAGTGA